TTAAGATGAACACGGACAAAACGGAATGTCCATGTCACACACAGGTGGTTGTTCGGAGCACTAAGCGCAAAGTTACGAGTATGTTTACCTGGTACCAGTAGTCTGACCTGGTAAGTCCAACTTCAACCGAGAGGTCAATCAACGGATTCAACTCGGCTGGGAAGCGTTCGGGAGATTGTGACACATATTCTCGTCAGGCATACCTCAAAACCTTAGAAGTAGATTGTTCAACCAGTGCTGGTTGCCAGTGATGACTTATAGATCTGAGACGTGGTCCTTCACTACTGGCCGTATCATTGATATAAATAAGTTACAAACCGGATTAATAAAATGCCTAGTTTTACTAAGTCATAGCCTAAATGAATTTATCGACAACGTTTTTTGATTCACTAATGGCACTTCAGTAGAAGTATCTATGGAAAGGAAAAACCGCAACATACTTTTAAAAGAAAGAATAATATAGTTATCTTATTTTGTACCAGGTTAAACGTCATATGTGTAAAGAGTTCAGCTATAGGAATGGTTTTCTTATTTTAATTCTCTCTATGCTAGTATTTTCTCTGAACGTGAAACGCACTTTATTTTTGCGTGTAGCTGTTGTGACGATTCACTAATTGAGGCATACAAAGGACCAAAGAGCCTGGTCTGATTTGTGTTTTTTCACAAAACTTTTTACAATATGCTGATGCGACATTTCGAAATTCTTAAGAAATTTTGTCAATGTAGATATAGAATAGAACGGTAATATCTAAAGGCAAATATAAAAAACCTGAAATTTATATCACCATCGAACCTACTAATACTTTCTACTTATACTTCACATGCGCAGACATTTAATATATCCACTTTAAACCATTAACATAAATAATAAGATAAAACAAAATCAGCCATCCACTGACGGTACGCAACTAACACCTATAGAATAAGTCTATGCCTACAGATATTTTATAGAGGTATTTTAACAGATACTTTATATTGCCGATTACAGATATTTTTTATTACAGATTACAGATATTTTATTATAAAAATACTTTGACTTTTAATATCTTTTTTTTTCTTCCCTTTAAAAACGTTACCCCTACACTAGGATTTTTTCCTGTATCGTGGGGGCAATATACATACATAAAGTGCACAAGGACAAACATCCAGACCCGGAACAACTAATTGTAGGCAATACAAATACTTGTTCCGTGCGGGATTCGAAACCGCGACCCACAGCGCAGCCACTCATTGCTAAGTCACTGCGCCACGGAGTCGCCAGTCGTTAATATAAGTTTTACTATAAGTCAAAAATATATGTGTAAAATAAAAGACGGGAAGAGCGAAGCCTCCTAACACAAGTTTTCTAAATTAAAGGAGTGTTCCAACAATGTATTTATTTTTAAGTATTACTGGAGCGAAAATAAAGATTTCTGTTTTTTTTTTTTTTTTTTACCGGCGGTCAAGTACTTTATGCTGGGGCAGCTTCTTAACTTATATAAAGCGCAAGTCCGGTCGTGCATGGAGTACTACTGTCACATATAGGCTGATGCTGCAAAATGCCACCTGGCAGCGTTGGACTCAATGCAGAGACACATTACAAATTATAACATATTTAGAACATTCCTTTGTGCCCCAGGCTAGAGTTTGCGTATATGTCAGAGAGGACATCTGTTTTCGATGTCTCGGCGGTTTTGAAGTTACGGACCTGTCCATCCTAAGGCTGCGCGTAGACAGCGATGACCATCCCCGCGTCTACCGGTGCCTCTATAGGTCCTATAGCGGTAATACCGAAACAGACCGACTCCTCGACCACGTCGAAATGATTACAGATTCCGTGTTGCCTCAGCTAGCATCAGAATCCTTGGCGTCGACATATCGAATAGTGTGTAATTTCGTGGTCACTTGGGGGTAAGGGCAAATTGGCCTCTAAAAGGCTTGACGTGCTGAGCAGAGCGAGACAGTACTTCATGCCGGCACATCGCTTGCAACTTTACAAAGCGCAAGTTCGGCCTCACATGGAATACTGTTCTCATCTCTGGGCCGAGGCACCCCAGTGCGAGCTCTTTCCACTTGACCGCATTTGCATTCGAATCGTTGACGACCGAGTTCTTTCTAATCGGCTCGATTCACTGGCGCTGCATAGGGATGTTGCATCCCATTGCGTTTTCTATCGTATCTACCATGTGGTGTGTTCTGAGGAATTGTTCGGATTAGTTCCAGCCGCCAAATTTCACGAACGCACATCGCGTCAAGATTACCGATACAATCCTCACCATCTGGATGCTTGGCAGTCCACTACTGTACGTTTTACTTGAAGTTTTCTTTCTGGTATAACTTTTCTGTGGAATTGTTTACCACCGGCGACTTTTCCGGACCGATACGACTTAGGGACCTTCAAGAAAAGATCTTACCCCTTTCTATAAGACCGGCAACGCATCTCCAATTCCCGTGGTGTTGCGGTTGTTGATGGGCGGCGATAGTCACTTACTATCAGGTGAGCCGCATGCTCGTTTGTCTCCTCTTCTATGAAAAAAGAGACGTGCTAAGAGGCTTATTGGTGACCTTGATTTGGTTAAAACCAACCTTGTCAGCCGCGAGCACAGGCGCAGAGTAGCCAGCCTCTCGGTATTCTGCATGCATTTGCTAGGATGCATTTCGGAGAGTGTGCGCAGGAATTGCATGCTTTAATTCCACCCTCTCCTTTCCACCATCGGTCGACCAGTCGGTCGGCGGGTCTTCACCCATTAGACCATTATTCACGCATTAGAACCAAACGGTTTAACTTCGACTTTTTAATGCGTACAGCAAAGGAGTGGAACAATTTTCCGGCGTCTATCTTTACGTCGGAATACAATCTGGGTGTCTTCAAGGCAAGAGTGGATTTTGTTACGCTAAGACAGTGCAATTTAACATCAAAGGCTGCGTCACCACTTACCACCTGGTGGGGTTGTGGTCAAGCACTAGCTTATAAAAAGTAAAATAAAACTCATGTTGTGCTGGTAGTTCTACTGACAATAATTTTTTTTTCATTAAATTCTTCCTCCAGAAACCGGTAAATAACAACAATTCTTGAAGAGAATAAACCTTTTATTATTTCTAATACATACATAAATTTTGCTGCCTGTATTAAAGTGTGTTGCTTATTTGAATCGTCTAAGTAGAAAAAAGTTCGTGCGGAAACATTAAGATCACTTACTTGTCGGACCCTAAAACATATTTATGCAAAAATTATAACGAGAGAAACACTCGAGTACCGCTCTTCAAATCTCCCACCAACAAGTAATCGACTCAAATCCGGCTCCTCCATTACATAGCCGCACAAATATTTAGCGTTAGAAAACCATGAAAAGCGTCCCGGTAGGCTGAATGGTGAATGCATCCTCGCCATTTTCATGTAAATTAAAAGACACAAACAGACAAGATTTTCCCGCGCTAAAACACCATTCATAGACGTCGTATTCAATTGCTCGAGTGCGGAACGCCCCGAGGCATTAATTAGAGCGGAAACTCTATGGGCGTTTCTTTTTTAAAACTGACGTCTTTATGTGAGGTCGCTTTTGTGCTTGTAGTTAAGTGTGAAGTCTTAGCATCAAGCAATGTTTTTATGTTTTAGTATTTTTAAATAAATATATAGACGTAAAAAATTCTTCGTGTAATAAAAAAATATTTTTTATCATTTTAAAAAACATGAGTCAATGCTCTGATATCTACATTTATCTTCCATTAAAAATCAAATGCAGATGCGTTATCACCCCAAATGACTAAGGTACGTGAGAATAATATGGTCACCTTAAGACTTGCTGCCCTGTAAAACTAAAACTAGGAGGTGGACAGAGACAAAAACACATAATTTTATACTATAACTAATATATTAAGAAAAAAAAATAGCTTTGGCAATAATTAGGAAGACTTCAAAAAATCTAGCTAAAAAACTGACTACACTACACCATACTAAAATCGACAAAAATACTTACTATAATGTCAACTGTCAAAATGGTGTCGATAAAGCAGCGCCCTTTTGACTATTTATTATTTGATTGACCGATGAAGAGCTATCGTATCACAAAGCCGTCTATGCAAACAAGGCTGTAGTTTTTGAGATATAAAGAAGTGACCATATTAACCGGATGATCATATTACCCTCACGTGATGGAACGCTTTGTTTCCAGTAAAAAGATTTACGCTGTTATTCTGTGAGAGCGTAGTCCTAACCTTAGTCGACCCATCCGTACTACAACCATAATATAACTGAAGCGTGACTCTACCACGTGTACTTGTAGTACACAACTAACTGCTCCATAGCCCTTTCAAAATACGAATTTAAATACGAGAAGACTTAAGCGCATCAGTTATGTGTATATAGGTTGTAACAGTTTGTAACTTTTACTCACTCACAACTCTTGCTTCTAATTTTTAAGGTTTGATAACCCTAATTATTTCCTAAATCACATATGTTCGATGATAGTCGATAAGTATTATTACGTCCCGAAATAGCTGTCTTAAGTATCACCATATGTATGATAGGAGTCGCTTATCGCCACAAACCTCTCGCTATTCTATAGAATGCATTTCGGAAAGTGTGTGCAGGAATCCTCCTCTTCGCATCATCGGACGACCAGCCGTTCGGCAGGTCTTCACCCCTATGCTGTCGATACTCCACACATTCAAACCGAACCGTTTTACAGTTTTAGTAAATCTGTACGCAAAGGAGTGCAATAATTTGCCGGCGTCTGCTTTCCTTCCAAATACAATCTGGGCGTCTTCAAGACGGGAGTGAATAGACTTTTGTTACGCTAAGACAGTGCGATTTACCGTCAATGACTTCATCACCAATTACATCATGTATGATTGTAGCCGAGCACTGGATAAAATAAGTTAAGAAGCACCATTTTGTAGTTCGAAGCTCGCAGCTGTTGAATAGCGTGCGGTAGGGTAAGTAAGCCGACGCGACGGCCATTTATCAGCAAAAATAATTTTCGGCCCGTAATTTGTAATGAAAAATCGTGTGTTTTAATTACTCTGACTGATTACACCATAGACTTTAAAAAGTATCATAAAGGTTAGTGATATTCGACACTTGGCGAAATTAAAATTTTAAGGCAAACAATAGTAAACAATATGCAGCAGTGGAATTGTGATGGGTTGTAGGCTGAATTATTTTTAAATAAAAGAAAGGGTGACAAACGAGCACACAGTACACCCAATAGTGAGTGGATGTTGTACCCCACACATGTATCATCGATTAAGAATAAAATTCAGATGCGTCGTCAACCCTAAGGAAGAAGATGGAATATGCTCATCATAAGAAACACAGCATCATTAAGCTGCTATTTTCCCCGGTCGAGCTGACCCCTTCGTGACGCAGCCACAAAATAGCTGAAGCGTGGCTCTACCACGTACAAAATTTAGTGGTGTAAACGTAGATTAAAAGCAACAAAATATTATGATCATACTGTAAAAGTTTTTTGTATTATAAAAACTATTAAAAATCTGTTTGGCTCGATGCTTGTTAAAGTTACAACACTTTATGACTGGCCGAATACACTTTAGTTTTTCTAAGAGGTCGTCCCCCGCAGAAAAATAACAAGGTGCTTTAAACTTTTTGACCACTTTGTCACTTTTACTACTGTTAATAAATACTTATTATTTTTCCTGGTCAAAAAATTATGTTGTAACCCAATTGTTAATATTTAATTTTAAAAGCATAATATTGTTTTAATTTTTTAAGTCTATCGATTACTGCGCTAACTTTATCCTAATGCGGTAAAACCAAGAATTTTTACCCCTGCATATCCAACGAAAATGTGTTTTTAAACTGCGTTTAAATGTTCGTATGGCGAATAGTTTATTATTATTAATACCCGAATTTTATCAGCTTGTATTGTTAATCTGATCAATAGAATCTGTTTGTTTATATTCTGATCAAATCAATAAACTTCTACAGCCCAAAATCTTCTATTGATAATTATCACTGAATACGAGGCTGCATATGCTCTCGAGCGCTGCGTGACGCCTCTCGTGCATGCACACGTCCGACACGCGCCGCGGTCGAGCGCCGATTTACCCGCGTTCACTCGTTAAAGCTTTTATTATCTGTCATTGTACAACGTACATTACTGTGTTGCAATTAAAAAATAATTCAGTGCAAAGAGGTTCTTTAACTGTTCACTTGGACGTCATAACAGAATATAGACAATGAATGACAAGTGAATGTAAGTATTTTGCAAATATTCCCCTCTATTAACACTTATAAAACAATTGTATTATTACAGCAATGTCTTCTTGACAATGTATCGGCATCGCTATGGTCTTTTCCACCTCGATGTCATCCCTTGTTTTCACCGATGACAAGCAACCATTTCTCAATGTCAGCTAGGCCTTTTATTTTTTCTTAAAAATCATAAAAATTTAAGAAAAAATAAGAAAAATAAAAAATAAGCCTCTTATCATTATTTGATTTTCTGATTACGGTTCTAGCATAATGTTATAAACTTATAACAGTTAAGCTTACCAGGGGTCGATTCTTCGCTAAATCCTCCTCGATCAGTAAATTTAAGTAATCCTGAACTGACATCTACAACGTACCTTTTTCCAGGAATAATTATCTTGAAAAAGAAATCTTTTCGTAATATGCACTCGTCGTTGATACTGATAATTAGTGCACGATTTAAATACGTCCGTTCCCCAACCTTCATTTCAAATAGAAATACTTACCCAAGCTTTGTTTTTTTATAGGATAGGGTGACAAACGAGCACACAGTCCACCTGACGGTAAGTGGTTGTTGTGGTCCATAGACATCTACATCTATCCTTGATTACGAATCAAAATGCAGTTGCGTTGTCATCCGTGAGGACAGGTGGAATGCCTCGTTTCCAGTAAATAGGGTCTCCGGTTTTCTACACTCACCATACGAAATACGGTAGCATTAAGCTACTATTTGACGCTGTTATTCTGTGAGAGAGTGGTCCATCCCCGGTCGAGCCGACCCATTCGTGCTACAACTATACTACTAAGATAACTGCAGCATGGCTCTACCACTTAAAAAAGTTTCAGAAGTTCCGGTCCTATGACCAACGAAGATGCTCTTGTGCTAATTTTAAATCTGCAAACTTTTTTCGTGGAAACAACGTAAAGGATTTATGACATTTTTCCGCGCACAGAAGGCGAACGTATACGAGTACTAACTAAATCACTTACGCGATCAAAATGATTTCCTTTAATGGGTCAAAGCGTTTTGCAAAGTGAAGAATTACAACCTATGTACGTCCCACTGTTGGGCACAGGCCTCCTTTGATTTCTGGGAAAGCGTTTTTATAAAAAAAAATGTGTATGTGAAATTTATTTTACCTGCCTCAAGGGTGACATACACTCATAATTTTCTTTTTGTTCACATCTATGCAAAGTACTTATGGAATATTTTAAGTTTGATTCCTCTCCTTTAATAATAAATACTAAAAAAGGTATATGACTGAATAAAAGTCAAAAGTAAGCCCTAACTCTATCTTAATAAGATACAACGCACGTTTTGATAAATTTACCTAACAAGTAATAAGCAATGATGATCAAAATTACAGACACAATAATTGAAAGCAATCAGAGCTGCATACATCCGTCAATCTCTAAATAAAGCATGTTTGTCTCGCAATTACTTGTAAGTGATTGTTAGGGGATCGTTGTTAAAGCGGACAACCCTATAATAATAGTCTAACGACGGTACGTCGACCGAAATATCTTGATACGTATTTTTTATTAAATTAATTATTTATTTGTTTAAATATAAACATAACGCATCCCTTAAATATGTTGTTTTAATGCCTTTAATTGTTCATTTCAATGCTCTTAATTTAAAAAAGGTACACATCTTAATCAACCTTAAAGATAACGCTAGGAATACTTAAATAAAATCTATCCAGACAAAATTTGTATTAAAAAGACATTCTAATTGTGTGTGAAAAATTAAAATTTATTTTCTTTAAATCACTGCAATAAATATACGATTTATTTAACAATAAAGAAGACTAGATAATATAATATAACATATTAAAAACGTGAAAATTTACAAGTTTTCAAAGTTCGCCAATTTATTTGAATTAAATTTCAAAAATACTAACATGGAATATATAGTGGTAGAATATAAATAGATTGGCCATTAGACATAATTTAAGATCATACTTTATTGTACACATACGAGTACATTCTGGCAAATAAGTTAATTTGAATTTGAATTTGAATGGACAATTGCACATTATCAATTATTTGCCTGCTTGAAACTGGAACAAACACATAAAACAACTCAGCTAGCTAGTATTTGAGCAAGTATCAAATTCAGATGGACGAAATTCTGTCGGTGAAGTCGTGGTGTCGATAGAATCAGGCGCCGCGGGGAGCATCACTAATTTGTCACGCGTGTTGTTTACATCCCGCGTTTCGAGGACAGGGTTGAATAGAGTTCAACGAGGTTCGAACTCTTGAGCGATCGCTTTCGTTCTCGTCTTAAGAGTTTGTGGATGGTATGGAAGCACGTAGTCATTGATAGGTATATGTCTAATTACCCAAGGTTTTTATGATTGCTTTGTACCACTTACAACTGCAAATTATAGTAAACCAAATCTAAGAAATACCTTTTGACGTTTCACATTAATAATTCCGCAATAACTTTGCACAAGCGTACTCACACGATTTAAAATAACCTTTTACGTAAATCCGAAGAATTATAAAGTTATCTATATTTCATTACAACGTGTATAGTTTTTTATCACTTATTTAATTTTGAATTTTTCAAACAAAGCAAAATATTAATAAATAACCAGTATTAACTTTTTTACTTTACGTCGTTTCAATGACATGTCCCTATGTATATTACCGTAGTGTTTGGATGATTAAAATTCATTGTTATGCGAATAATCGGAAAAATATTCAAATAATCGGTAAAAATATTTTAATAATCGAATCATTAATTTCTTTAATGTATTGCTTGTTTAATTTAATTTTTATTTTCGAAATTCCTTAAATTACATTAATCATGAATAAAACAAGTTTATTTTTTTTCACTTTATCAAAGTAATTTTTTGTAGGAAAAAAACTCAATAAGGCCATGCTAATTCATTTCGCGCCATTTCGGTACCAGTTACTCGACTCCTCAGAATCATTACTTCATTTTTGAGGCGATGTATACGCTTTTATAACAAAATGCCAGAAAATATACAAAATTTGACGTAAATACACAAAGTTAAAAAACTTTATTAAACTAAGTTTGTATAAAAAGGGTTATATTAATATTGAGGAATTTATGGATGACAATAACCCCTGGGAAGAGTGATCGCTACCAAGCTATTTCTTATTTCTTTTGTGTTGTTAATTGTAACACGCATGATTGTAAGCTCTTTTTTTTAAACTGGTCCCGTTGGGTTTCTCGCTGGTTCATTCTCAGGACAGAGGTCTTTTGCGAACCAGTGGCAAATGAAAAAAGTGACTTTCGCTTTGTATTATTCATAATCTATATTGAATAAAAAAAGTTTCTGTTTCGAGAGCTTACTGTGCGTAATTTTGGAATTTTATGTTCGTCTTCTTATTTTGTGACTCGGTTTTAACTTTTTGGACTATTTCTTCTATAATAACTTTTTGTACGTGGTAGAGCCACGCTACATCTATATTATAGTTGTAGCACGAATGGGTCGGCTCAACCAAGGAAGGACCAAGTTCTTACAGAATACCAACGTAAAATAGCAGCGTAATGCTGATGTGTTTCATATGGTGAGTATAAAGAACCGGAGACCCTTTTTACTGGAATCGAGGCGTTCCATCTTAGTCCAGGGGTGGCAACGCATTTGTATTTCGATTCTTAATTGAGGATAAATGTGTATGTCTATGGGCCATAGCATCCACTTACCACTTACCATCAGGTGGACTGTGTGCTCGTTTGTCACCTAATGCTATAAAAAAAAATCGTTGAAGCATGTGCCCATATCACAAAGGATGACTGGTCAAAAGTGGTAGAAAAAAACAAAAAATGTTTATGGATGACTTTGAAAGAGACATTAATTTTGACTGCATT